ACCAAAGTCAAAGACATTACAAGAAAAGAAAATTACAAACTAATATCCCTCATGAATATAGATGCAAAAATTATCAAAAATACTAGCAAACAGAATCCAGAAGAATATTAAAACGATTATGCACCATGACCAAGTAGGATTTACTCCAGGAATGCAGTGTGGTTCAACATCAGGAAAATCAATGTGATACACCACATCAATACAATGAAGGAAAAAACCCACATATTAAGTATCATAACTGATGTGGAAAAAGCATTTGACAAAAATCCAACACCCTTTCATGTTTAAAAAAAAAAAAAAAACACACTCAACAAGCTAGGAATAGAAGGGAACTTCCACAATATGGTAAAGGGCATATATGCAAAATGTACACCAATGTAACAGTCAATGGTGAAAGACTGAGAGCTTTCCCTTTAATGAGATCAGAAACAAGAAAAGGATGGCATGTTTTGCTTCTTCTAGTCAACACTATACTGAAATTTATAGTCGAAGCAATCAGGCAAGAAAAAGAAATAAAAAGCATTCAAATGGGAAATAAAGAAGTAAAACTATCACTATTCACAGATGATGTAATATTATATATATAAAAAATTCTACAGAATCCACAAAAATTTATTAGATCTAATAAAAAAAATCATCACAGTTGCAGGATACAAGATGAACACACAAAAATCAGTTGTATTTCTATACACTGGCAATAAACAATTTGAAAATGATATTAAGAAAATTACATTTACAACAGCATCAAAAAGAATAAGACACTTAAGAAACAATTTAACCAAGGTAGTGAATGTACACTAAAAACTATAAAACCCTGCTGAGAGAGATTAAAGAACACCTAAATAAATGGAAAGACATCTTGTGTATGTATTAGAAGATTTAAGATGACAAGACTAACCAAATCAATCTACAAGTTCAATGCAATCCCTATCAAAATCCCAGTATGCTGTTTTGTATAAATGAAAAAGCTGATTCTAAAATTCATACAGAATTACAAAAGATCCTGAATGGCCAAAACAATCTTGAAAAAGAACAAAGTTGGAGGATTCACACATCCGAATTTCAAAACTTAAAACAAAGCCACACTAATCAAAACAGTGTGGTCCTGGAATAAGGATAGACATATTGATCAACAGAATAGAACTGACAGTACAGAACCTTTTATGGACAATTGATTTAGATAGTGCTTCCAACACCATCAGATGGGGAAACAGCAGTCTCTTCAACAAATGGGGGGCCGGCCCGGTGGCGCACTGCTATAGTGCACCGCTTGGGAAGCGCGGTGGCGCTCCCGCCCGAGGGTTCGGATCCCACATACAGACCGGTTCCCGCTCACTGG